ACAAAAGAAGCCTTAAATCTTGAATTTTTATCGTTGGTTTTGGTGGTTTGCAGCTATTGTCAAGTAATTTTGGGTATAGAAATTCACTCATTGGATAACCAGTTTGGTTTGTGTTTTAATGTGCTTCGAGATCGAGGGGCCTTGGTGAAACTAATTAAAAGTAATTTGATTTCATTTTTTGTAGTTAACTTTTCTTCATTTTTTTTTTTTTCATTCTTTAAAGTTGATAATTTATACAAACACTGCTGCAACTATATAAACCAATTGACATGTGCCTTTTTATCCCATCCCATCCGACATTCTTCCTTTTTAAAAAGAAAAAAATTAATTAGTTTGTCATGGAGTTAAAGAGTAATGATAATATTTTATTTCATTCTTTGCGGTTTATATTTTATACAAACACTAGCCAGGCCCCTATATAAACTTATTCAACTTTGCCTTTGAATCCAATTCGACATTTTTTCCTTTTTTAATTTTCAAAATTTTGAATTACTTAATTCTTGATTAAGAGATGGGACCACTAAAACGGTAAAAAGAATATCTAGCATGGTATAAATTAGACAAAGTTGTAAACCTAATTAATTTACCAAAAAAAAAGGAAAAAGAATTAAGCCAATCAATACAATCAATTAAACCAAAAAAAAAAAAAGAAAGAATGAAAAAAATTTATAATTCAAGCAAGGTGAAACCAAAATCTAAAAATAATTCACCACATCCTTTTTTTTTCTTTAACTATTTGAAGATTACGTAGAAAACAGGTTTTGTAGATTGTCATTGCAGTCCTCCGCTTGTTCCAGCTTCATATACGTTGCACTGGGAGTATATTTGATGAAAACAAAAGCATAGAATGACCAACAGATTTCATAAGTCAGACGTGGTGGTAATGTAAGAACAAGAGATTTTTTTTTTTTCTTCGACAAAACTCTCATATCCACCCCTCAAATAAGGGATAAGGACAGATCCATATTTTAAAAAAATACAAGAACAAATTTCTCTTCCAAATTATAAATCGAGACAAATCACTCATTTTTTATCATGCAACGTCAAATTTCCATTAAAAAATACTTACATGATAAATAAAATTATGATATCATATGTTAAAAAGTAGATAATATATCTCAATTTATAATTGAAAAGACAATTTGTCTCTACATTTTTTTAAAAGATGAATCTATCCTTACCTCTATTTGAGGGTTTTGCCCCCCTTTTTTTTTTTTTTCTTTTTTTTACCTTAGCTTTTTTTGCAATTTTTTTTTTTTTTTTTACTTTGCAAGAATTAATTGCTGGTTGGGATTGTTGATAAAAAATAAATAAATCGCTGGTTACTTAGGACTGTTTGTCCCTGCAGATCTTGTTCGTAGGACTCCATCTAATACTGGTCTATATCTCTTGTGGTTTATATGTACAAATCTTTATTAGAATACACAAGAATGTAGAAACAAATATTACAAGGTTAAAAAAGGAAAATAAAAGCTGAGAATTAGACTTTAATTCAAAAACAAAATTTAGTAAATTTAAATATAAAATCTCTAAAAAAATCTAAAGGTAAGAAACAAACCTCATGAATAAAATTATTTTCGATTATTATTATGATAATCCTCATAGTCTTCCCTTTAGTTCTCCTTTTCTATTTTTTCTTCTCTTCACTTCCCGGTGGCTGCTCTTGTCTCTATTTTGTTCTTTTTTCCATCCATTTATAAATAGAAAATAATTTATGACCCTAATGTTCTATAATTGGAAAGAACCTAATAATATAAAATTGAAAAGATTTTGGGTAGAAGAGACGAAGGGAGCAACCAATAAGTTCGATCAACGTCAAGAACATCAGGATCAGGAGACTCTGCACGTGCACCCACCATCTTCTGAACTTTCTCCACCCGCCATTCGCACGTCATGAAAATTTTCAAATCTAAATTAAAGAAAATGATATTAATTGATCCATAACATGTGAAAATCCGCAAATAACCTTTGTACATAAAAACTATTAGAAAAATATAACGGTAAGTGTCCCCCAACCAAACCCCCACCCCTTATGGCCGGAGGAGGGAATGGTGGGGTTTTACCAAATCATTTTATTAGTTTAATTTTTATATTATCTTAGAATAATAAGAGCTGCTAGTAGTGTTGGATTCTTTAGGATTTTCCCAACTACGTACTTATTGTGGTATTATATCAATTATAAAAATTTTAACAAGTGCTGATTGGGAACAGTGGCGGTTTCTTTTATTAGCTTTTTCTTTACTGTTAGTCTTGTAATTTATCAATAGTTATATTAATAAAATTTTATCAAAAAAATTAAACCATATTTAGGTACAACCAAACAGTAATATTAAAATTGGAATGCCAAAATGCAAAGACACTTTTTGAAACTCTTATTCACAAATGTCCCTCAGAGATTAAAAACAGGGAAGATAATACACAAAACAGAGACCATTTACTCAATTTTGACATCAATGACCTTTTTCCCTACTTTGTTCTTAGGAATGGAGATGGACAGAACTCCATTCTTGAGCTCTGCTTTGATCTTGTTTTTCTCATAGTTATCGGGAAGTTGAAGATGTGCATCGTATTTATTGAAGTTCCTGCTACTACATGAATCACCTCCTCCTCCTTCCTTCTTGGGCTCTCCTCTGATGATGAGCACACCGTCCTCCACTGAGACCTTGACGTCCTCCTTGGAAAGTCCTGGCATGTCGAACCGCATCTTGATTCCGTTTTCATCGTCATGGATGTCCCAAGGTGCACGCATCTCGCTACCTGTCTGGCTAGGGAATAGTATGGTATCATCGAATATTCTGTACATGGTGTCTAGCATGTGAAGCATTATCCTCACCGGAGACAATGGGTCAAAAGAACCTGTTACACCATCCATCATGTTAGATAATTCCAAACAATTATAAAAATCAATGGCGAAAACAAAGACAAAATGTAAGGAATCGATCCAGTATTCAATTGAAGAAGAAATCATTGTAAGCATGGAAACGGGGTATATCAGAAGGACTCGAAAACAGAGTATAAGACTTACCTGAAGGAGAGATATCCATAGCCCAGTGTTTAGGTCTCCTTTCATTGGCCTTCCCATGATTATTTTTATCGACATGCGCATCCCCTGACGTATCCTTGTTGTCTCCGCCGGTGGTCTGAGCTCTCACAACATACAGCCGATGAGATGGGCTGTTGTTGGAAGATGTCAATGGCGGAAAGAAAACAGAACATGGGGAAATACCCTTGGTGGAACTTGACCTGGCCTTGTTGAATAGCAATGGTGAAGAGGAGCAAGACAATGCGAAAGCCATATCTGGAAATGGTGAATAATGATGAATAAACCTTTGAATTTTAAAGAATGAAGTCGACTGGTGTGAGGAGGGGAACTAGGATGGTGAATATATAGAGAAAGAGTGGGTGATTGGAGAAGGAAGGAAAGGAGAAAGACAAGTTTGGAGAGTGATCTTGAAGGGTTCAGTAAAAATTCTGGACCCAATTCTTGATGGGATTGACATCATCTTTTGAACAGACGGGTTGCTCGGTAAAGTTAGGGGCAGACACATTGTATTCTTGAGGAGGAAGAAAGAGATATTTGTAGTTAGAGCCACCCTTTTGCTTTTTTTTTTTTTTTTTTTTTTTT